ACAATTCTTTTTTTTTTCTTTTCGAACATTTAATTATACTAACACACACATTGTCACAACGGAATCTGATGCCAGTGACATATGTAAAGTATACATTTAGATGTCCACTTAATTTCTAGATGACGTTCTAGTTTGCCCGGGGTACCACCGCTAGTGAGGAGGCATGGAGACTGCTCCTCGACAACGTGGTATAATGCCGAGGTAATTAGGTAAGGATAGGAGTCTAGAGTAGGAGGAAAGGACAGCGGGCGTGTGTGTGGGGGGGACGGCCCCGCCGCTGGAGAGCCTTGGACTAATAGGGTAATTCATTAATTCTGGTTTGCCGGATATTTACGGGAATAGTGGCTTGGCAGGGGCATACATAGGAAATACGAGAAAAACGGGGTAATTGCAAGGAACCTGACTGCTCACAGCTTGCTGGAGTGTTCACAATGCATTCGTAAATGTCATCACACAGATGAAGTAGTCTCACACAAAGACAAGACGAGATGGAATGAGAACCAGATAGCGCAGCTCATATTATCAACGTCACATTATACAAAGAGTATCTTGAGTTCAAGAGTTCATTGCAAGGAACCTGACTGTTCACAGCTTGCTGGAGTGTTCACAATGCATGCATAAATGTCATCACACAGATGAAGTAGTCTCACACAAAGCCAAGACGAGATGGAATGAGAACCAGATAGCGCAGCTCATATTATCAAAGTCACATTATACAAAGAGCATCTTGAGTTCAAGAGTCCAGCGCCAGCAGATCACAAGTCCCCTATTTGTCAAGAAAGGGCCTGGCTCAGCCAACATATGCCCAGATCACAGGTATGGCGCCAGCAGGTAACTCTCCACCATATCCAACTTAGGAACCTGTCCTCCCTCCCTCTTCTCTCTCAAGATCTCTGCTCTGATTCTCTCGTCTCATCATGCATGCACACTCCCTACTTACGAGAATCTACTCTGAATGCTACTCACTGATACCTACTACTAACCCTTCTACTACTACTAACATAAGCTGGCGCAGCTATGGTCTCTTCTACAGCCAGCGCCCAACACTTCTTCCTTCTGGCGCAGCTCTCAAGCCAGCGCTCTCTCCCTGCACTCTAGCGCACAAGTGCCACAACACTTCCACGCATCAATGCCAATGGAGAATCTGCCTTGTGGGGAGGCTGCCTCGTTTCTTATAGTGCTGGCCTCCCTTTGCGAGGTCTGAATTCAGTCTTTCGTGGGTCCTTTCCCAGTCCCAAGCCTCTGTGGAGTGTGTCCCAGTTCCTTATCCTCAAGGTCTGCTGCTGCTGCGGCCTTCAGGCCTGAATTTCGGACTTCCAATCTGTATCTAGACTTTCCCTTTGACTTGAATCTGGACTGGGACCTTATCTCTTTGACTTCTTTATGAACAGACACACGTACTGTTCAACAGACACACTTACTGCAGGAACAGACACATCTCCTGTACGAGCAGACACATCTCCTGTTCGAACAGACATGACTTGCACACCCCCTGGATGAACAGATGTGACTCCCACAATTGAATACTGCAACTGTTCGTCCAGGGGCACAACTGTGACCTTTGACATGACCTTTTACTTTAGTTAGGATGTGACTTTTGACCCAGAGAACATCTCTTTTGATCTGCTTTTCACGAATTAGGCTCTGGCCGAGTGACCCATAATACTGCGTTCGTCATTCAGGGTCTGAATCGGGTAAAGGCCCTTTTATAATACTGTAAACAAAATACGGGGGACAGACGTAAAACATTTTTTTGGGCAGGCTGCGGATTAAATCGTAGTATCAGTATGGGTTAGTAGTCTTTACGCACATTTGCGAACTCCAACGTTTCGGAAAAATCCGGCGCGTGGTAGCAGTACCGGTGCCTGTGGGATTTCAAATTCTGGTGGGAATTTGAGATACGTGGCGGGTGGAGGAATAACGAGAACTTGGCAGTGCTGGGTATTAGATACGGGAAAATGTAAAGTAGTCTGGGTGTGCTGCAGATTAGCCAGAGGGTTGCACCCGTTAGGACCCGTGGAGGANGAGAACGTGGCAGTGCTGGGTATTAGATACGGGAAAATGTAAAGTAGTCTGGGTGTGCTGCAGATTAGCCAGAGGGTTGCACCCGTTAGGACCCGCAGATAGCGGCTGTACGATAGTCAGTAAGGGTTAGGGTAATTTCTAGTCCGTTACACAGGCGCGTTTGGCGAGCACCAACGATTGGAAATCGGGCACACTGTGACAGTACCGGTGCCCGCGTGTTTCAAAATCCGGACGGAAACTGAGGTACGTGTACGACAGAGAGGAGATGAGGTGGAGGTAGGTGGTGTCTGATTTCGGGCAGGAATAGGAAGCCGAGACTACGATTTTGAATCACCAGGTACCTACGGACCAGGGCGAATACGTGAACTACCTGGGAAGAGCACGGCAGTCCAGCACACGCGTAGTACACAGGAATGAGAGATTGGGCTGGGTGCAGAAGGCTGTACGTGGATCCGATGCAGGATGGTTTAGCCAATCAGAACTTCGGAGAGAATGTGGCGGGTGTGTGCAAGGAAAGGCTGTAGGTATTAATTGAGGGCAAGGCCAGGACGGCCCTCATACGCTCGTGGGTGGTAAGTGTAGGTGGGCTGCAAGGCGCTGGGTATGTGGCATGCCTCCTGATGAGACCGGAGCGCACCCGGTTGAAACGTAGAGGAATGCGTGCGCGTTTTCCGAGCATGTGTACACGCCGATGCTTCTTTGAAATATACTGATTTGCGTGTAAAGGCAATTGGCCATCGCTTTTCTTCTATCTCTAGATGACGTTGCAAATGACGTTGCAAGTTTGCTTGGGCTCCATCCCTGCCCTGCTCCAATATCAAATTTTCAGACCGTACTCACACTAGCACTGTCCTAAATGTATCTGACCTCATTTACGGCCTCGTCTGGATGCATCCGTCCGCAATTCCACTCCGAAATAAGAAAGAAAGAAAGACCCAGTGTGCGTATGCCCTCATTCTCCAATTCAAGCAGCTAAGAATGGGAAAACTCAGAATTCGAATGAGATTCTCCTCAATTCCTCAACAACATGGTAGAATGAATGGGAAACTGGCAATTTTGCTCCATCCGAATTGTTTATTCAGTGAAATCGAAGAAATACAGATAAACAACAGAAAGAAAGACAGAAGATCACCTCGCACCATATCTTCACTACCGCCATCTCTCCCCGAGTTATGCAGGAACAACTTCCAAGCCACTGCCTTTCATCAGTTGATTGATTGATTGATTGATTGATTGATTGATTGATTTCGGATGATTGATTGACTGATTATTTGATTGATTGATTGATTGATTGACTGATAGATCCGATGGTTGATTGATTGATTGGTCCAATGGCTGATTGATTCATTGATCCAAGTGATGATAGAGTGATTGACCCGATGTTTGATTGATTGATCGATTGAGTGATCCGATGGTTGATGTATTGATAGATTGATTGATCCGATGGTTGATTAATTGGCTGATCCGATGGCGGATTGACTGATTGATATGATGGTTGATTGATCGATCGACTGATTCGTGGATTAACTCATTGATTGATTGGTTGATCCGATTGTATTGATCAACTGCTGGATTGATTTCTTGATTGATTGCTCCGTTGATCCGGGGAAGGGCGGGTGCATAACTGCTCTAATGCCTCGTCAGTTTGCCATATTTCAGTTTGCCATATTCTCAGAATGCACCTGGATGACTACCGTCCTTAAACAGATGCATCTGGCCTCCTTTAGGTCCAGGTACATTCCGAAA